AGCCGGCGCTGGTCCTCATGCCGGGGCTGGATGCTGCCGGAGCCGGGACGCGGCCGCTCTTGTAGGCGCCGCCAGGACTTCCCCGCCCTCATCCCGGCGCCCCCCGCAGGGAATCCCCGCCCGCCCCGCGCCCTGCAGGACCCGGGAGGCGGGCGGAGAAACGCAGAGGCTCGCAGTGTCGCGTCACGGTGATGCAACGCCCGCACAGACCTGGGCAAGACCCTTCTCGGCAGGGGGCCGTCTCCGCGGTCCTTCATGCGCCGTAGGCACGGGAGTCAGGACCCGCGGGACGGGCGATCTCCTTAGTTACTAGATTGTTGCAAATAAATAAATAAAAATTCTTTAACTGCAAGCGTTGGGGCAATACAAGAGATCACCTCTACCATGAGTCCGGATTCCTTCTGCCTCTAGACCAGGGGTGCCCAACGCTACCTGCCCAAGGGCACATTTGGATTTAGAAGAAAAAGCAGCAGGCGCCAATATGACAACATTTTTTACTGGAATCATGATTTTTGCTGATTGTGAAAATGCACGCGGGCACCTGAATAAACCTCGGGAGGTGCCATGGCGCCCGCGGGCATCGCGTTGGGAACCGCTGCTCTAGCCCAATACGGCTACAACCCGGATACCTTAGATACTGCACATTTAGTTTCGTACTTCCTTAATAAAGCACTCCCTACATGCACAGCACCTAAAGTTACTGCACAGCAGTGCTGGCGCACGGTTATTTAGTGATGCCGACTGTGCATTGGCTTAGTAACACTGCGCAGTAGGCTGTTAGCACAGTTTTTGCCATGACACGCTACTGCCAATGCACAGTAAGCATCTCGTGTAGACGTACCCAGAGTCTCTTGCAGGTGAATCAGGGTTTATTGAAGACAGGGGGCAGGGCTGTCCTGGTTGCTTCAGCCCCAGACAGCCAAGCAACAGACACAGAAGACAGAGGAAACTTTATTTGAACTCCCTATATAATCTTGCTCCTTCCTTGCTACCTGCTGAAGGTAAGTAATGGTGAAAGACTTCTGGTCACCTTGAGTCCCCATGACAGCTGCAGTAGTGTTTATTTGTAGAGAGACTTAAAAAAGAAATCATTAAAGAGCTCTTGTCTGTTTTGCAGTTTGGACCACTGCTGGAGCTCTGTTATGTGGAAAAAAATGGTCTAGGGACAAAGCTGCTTGCATATGGGGGTCGGTGCTGCAGTGAAACGGTGCAGGTGTCATTAGATGCTTGGCATGAGGCTGTCATGAGCATCTAAGGAGAGAGAGATAATAAGTACACTTCCATAGGTTGGAGGCACCTTCCATGCACACGGTGGGGATTCCCCAGACCAATTCCTGTTTCTTGAATTGCCACTGTATTGCTGTGTAGACTTGGCAAACCAGTTGATCTCTCTTTATCTCACTCAGTTTACCAATCTGTAAAATGCCTCCCTATTTCCTGGTGGTACTTTGAGTCTTAAATCATTAGTTTCCAAGCACTGTGAAAGCCTGAGAATTGCACTCTCATTGCAATGTCACATAATACAGCCTTCAGTAATGACTACTTTATTAGGGGTTAAAAAAACCTCCAACAAACTAGAAACAAGCAAGGACCTGATTCTTCTCCCCTTAGCTTTAGGTGGAATAGCATCAGCCCCTAAATCTGATGTTTGCAGAAAATAAAGGATGGCATTTCTTCTAAAGTTTGACTGTGCCATGAAATGCACCTTACTTCTTTTGCTAGCAAAAGGCAAAAGTAAATTTGTTTAATAGCAAATAGATAATAACAAATCCAGGGTTGGGGAAGGGAAATACTTATAAGGTATGAACAGCATATTTTTTAAATATATATTTTGATCTTGGCCCTCACTTCAGCTGTTTATTTCCAGAACTTGAATCCTTGCCACAAGAAGGTACAGTGTTAAAAAAGGTTTAAGTAAATGTAATGTATGTAAATAAAAGCCTGATTTCAGGTTATCAGTCTAACGATAGATGTTATGATTGAATCTCTTGTGATTTGGGATCAGCTTCTGATTAAAAAGGGTTGCAGCGGGCAGCAAATAGACTTCTTAGAGCCCTTTAAAGAATTATGCCTACTGCTGCTGATTTACTTAGATGTCTATCAATTAAAGTGCTTGGAGCATTAAAAAGTATTTAGAGCTCCAATCTGTATCCCTGCTGAGAATATCTTTGCTTAGAAGAATCCAGGTTAATACCTAAAATCCTATTTAGCATAATGTCCTGAGAAATTGTTTATTCTGATGCCTTTAAAGCCAACTAGAAGAGAATCCTGCAAGCTGGAGTCAGACTCCCAAAGGCAGATGTCTGTTATACCTCTCAGTGGTTCAACAGGTGTGCTGAGTAGCATTATTCATAATGGTTATGAACATTTTAGCACATTATGCCTCTTCAGAGGCACTCATTTTACTTTGCCCTTGCTTTGACTGTGTTTGTTATTGCACTTTTGCTCCTCATAGTTAACAAAATATTTTTGTTCAGTAGGTTTCTTTTTTTTCTCTTTGTCCATCTGCTAGGGTCCAGGCTCCTGCTAACCCTTATTGGGTTATTGCTTACTTGACAGTAATAGAGGACTTCTTGCTCCCTGGTTGCCATAGACCTGGACCCTGTGCCAACGTCACATAAGGCAATCTTGACAGAGAAGGTCAGTCGCGCACAGCTTGTCTTTACTGCCTTGCACAGTCATTCACATGCCTCTCTGCACACAGAGGCTGTAAAAGGCTAGACAATTAGAATGGTAATGCTTTCATAAATGGCTGCACAAGTTGTAAAAAAGTTGAAAGGGAGCCGCTGATTACATGCACTCCTGACTAGCAGTTATGTGGGGAGAACCTCTTTTTTTAGCTACCAGCTATGGGAGTGATGTCAGTGGAGAGACTGCTCTTTGCCTGCAGATTAGGAGCCGGAGAGGACTAGAATCCATTTGCCAAGTAGTTTTCTTCACAAACCAATTTACTTAAAGAACAGAGTAGGGCTGGAATGAACTTCCTGCAGCCAGTGGAGATAAATGCTGAAAACTCATGGCTGCTTTTTCAAACCAAACAAAAGAAAAAACAAAGCAAAATCTCAGTGTGTTAAATGATAAGTCAAAAGCAGACATCACAATGAATTATTACACAGTAAACTGCTGGGAACCAGTGGCTTGAGTTTCTGAACTAATATTCACATTCTTGTTTGCCTTGTACCAACCCACAGTTTGTGGCTGCAGCTAATTCTAAATTTTCATATAAAAATGTAAGGAGTAAATATGCCTACATAAACTGCACAGATATCATTTTATTTTTCCTTTATTTATTTATCAAAAACTGTCACAAGTTACTGTGATGGGCTGTTATGGAATGATGAAAAAGGATACC